AACTTTATCTCCTCCTCCAGGGTGTGAACCTGTTGGAGAGGGCCCTAAAATATTTCCTGTGGCATCTCCCACTTTAACACAATGCCTCACACAGTTATTTCGGTCTCCTTTCTTTCTTCCCTTAGATGTTAGGGGAGCTTGTAGGTCCGGCCTTCATAGACTCCACTTCACTTCGGTGCTGGAGCTGTCGAAGGACAGTGTTCTTCTGACACACGCTTCAGCTGACGCAGTCTTGTCAGGGAGTGGAAACAGAATGACTCGCTTGTGTGCCTGACTTCTAGAAAATCATGTTCTCATGACTGTTATGCTAAGATAGTTTTGTTTCAAACTTTACCAGATGCTGTGAAAAAAGCCTTGGAGATATACAAAAGAAAAATCCAGTAACCATTGTTACTTTAACTCCCCAGAGCCTTCCTTTTCTTCCTCCCACATCCTACTCCTCTCCTTCTCTTTCCCAAATAGGTCCCCTTTCTAGTTCCATGTCACATGTACTGGTGTGTGTGTGTGTGTGTGTGTGTGTGTGTGTGTGTGTGTGCATGTGGAACTCAGATTCCACATAAGAGAAGCATGGTAATGTTTGTCTTTCTCGGCCTGGCTTAGTGTCTTTAATATGATGATCTATAATTCCATCCACTTTTCCCTTCAAATAACATATTTTGCTGTCTGAATTAAACTCCATTGTAGATATACAGCACCTTCTCTTCCTGCGCTCATCCGATGATGAATGTCCAGGCCATCCTATTTGACTGGTCAAAGCAGGGCTGATTGAGAGCCCTGGTACTTTTCAAAAATAACGCCAGTTACACACACTAGACTAAAAAGTTTCCAGATGTGGAGGGGAGTCAAGGTCAGTGTCATGAATGAAGTCTGTGGTCTTGAGAAATAATGCTGAGTGCAGACACTGCCCTTAAAGTGTTAGGAGGTAGATTTGCTAACATCCATGTTGAACAGATAGGAACTGGTGCTGCAGAACAAAGCTGGATGCTGAATCAAACATAATTAAAGACCCAAAATATAACATTAAATTAGAAAGTGCATCCAATGTCACATTTGACTCATACTAAATTATAATGTCCTATGTATAAATATGGATTCAGTGATGTTTTAAAATTAGCTCTTTTGGTGATTCTCTCCCCCCCCCAAATATTTGACCTGATAGTCAGTATTTGGATAATTTTTTTTCCTCTTATTTATGATCCTGTAAACGTTTGTTTTAGAATTTCTCTTACCTGAAATAAAGCTACCAGAGAGCGCTTCCTTGCTCTATGATGTTTTCTGTGTCTTTCCAGGAGTTTCACCAGCTACTGCACTCTGATTTTTACATGCTTCTGGAGCAGAGAGGAAGTAGGGGAGAGAGAGAAGGAGGGAAGCAAGTGGGAGAGAGAGATTGGACTCAGATCAGTGAGATAGTATCAGGCGGGGCCGAGATGAACTTGGCAGATGTTCCTCTCCTGTTTCGCACTTGAGCACGCCTGCATTGCTGCCTGGAATTCCGCTCGCATTTCTCTCATTCCTCTAAGATTTTTCTTCAGCTTTGGTAACAAACTCTAGCTTTAAATAGGAGCCAGGAATGAATACTGGAAAAAAAAAAAGAATGTGCAGACATGCTTACAGTGGCTATGTTATCATTATCGTCTAACTGGTAAGGAAGGCTGTGGATGCTTTTAACATAGTGGCACAGAGTGGCAGAATTGTCGTTTTTGGCAAATTAGTCCTTAAGAATCTTTCTTTCTATATAAAATAAATATATTACTTTTCCTTCTATAGTGTTTTGATATAAATAAACTTAATGACATACGGCATTGAACAAATGCTAGTGGTTTTAAAATTGTCCTCGATCAATACTTGAGAGAATAGCTCAATAACTTCATGATGAATATGAGAGTTTTCTTATGAAATATTCATTCAAGTCAGCTATGTATTTTAAACTCATGTTGACTTTAGCTATGACTGGCAACTATATATTTTTGGTTTTATATATAAATATGATAGAAAAACTAGGAAGAAAATTTGAACATGTAGCTTTGTGTGGAAGATAGAGTGTGATACTCTGTGATACTGTGTACTTAATAAAAGTCTATTGACACTGAGTGAAGATGGCAAGGAGCCAGTATTATTTGACTTCTTGTGGTATTTAGAACCTGCAAGTAACTGAGAAGCATTTTTTAAATATGTACACCATACACATTCCTATCCAAAGAAAAAACAGTACCGTACAACCTTTAAAACTCCATTCCTATCATAAAAAAAACACCACTTTTAAGGTAATTTGGGATTTAATTAGGTATAAACTTTATCCAGTTTTCATGTAACGCTCTCCTCACTCATTCAGCCACTGGCTTAGAAAATCCTGTGAATGTACCTATGGTCACCTGCCTGTCTCTGTTGTCCCTGAACAGCCGCCTCTTCTCCACCCTCTTCCTACCTGGTAGACCCAATGCTGCTACCCCCCCTTTATACAGTTGACTTGTCTTCTAGATACCTTGCATGATATGGATTCTGGGGGACCTAGCATGCTTTCGTTATAGTTAATTCTTTCTCCCCATGTGTTATTGCCTTTGTTTACGTATCTAGTGTGTGAGCATGCACACACATTTGCTTGGAGGAGTTGGTGCTCTCCTTCTACCATGTGGATTCCCAGGATCAAACTCAGCACACCAGGCTTGGCATTAAGCTCCTTCTCTTGCTAAGATGACTCATTAGCCCCTGTTTTAAATAGTTACCAATTCGGCTTTATAGGTACAGTGTTAATTATAGGCCTGGCAGATGCCCATGGCAAACCTAGGCTCCTGCCGTGGGCTGTTTGGTCTCCATGCACAAAATCCGTCCTCTGGTTTACACAACATTGTCGCTTTCCATTGCTGTGCCACTGTCTGAAGCAATCAGTGTATACCGAGGAAAGACTTGCCTAGGCTCCGAATCTCAGAGGTCTCACTTCATGGACACTTGTCCCTGCTTTGGACGCATAGCATCAGCGTGTATCATGGTGCGAGAAGGGACCGAGTATCACGGTGCCAGAGGCTGGCAGAAGGGGCCTTTTCTCCCTATGATGGCCAGGAAGGGAAGAGAGATAAGATGGGTCGGTGGCTGGGGGTCCCAGTACCCCTTCAAGGGCAGGCATTCCAGTGGACTAACTTCTTTTTTATAGGCCTTACCTTGTAAAGGTTCTACCACCTCCCTTTGGCTTCACAGGTTGGTGACCAAACCTTTAATACAAAGGCCCGTGGAGGATACTCCAGGTCCCAACTGTAGCCACCACGCTGCGGTGGTGTTGCAATACTGTTGTCTGTTCATGGCGGCCTCGGTGGTGGCGGGGAGACAGAACCATGAAGTGGAACTAGAAGGCCACGCCTTCTCACCTTTCCACGTGGGCGTATGCGTACCGTGGAGAGAGCTCTACGTCTTGTTGAGTATCATTTGCCCTTTATCCCGGAAGTGTTTAATTCTGAGAAAGTTTGGGTTTAGTGTATAGCTAAATACTTTCTCTGAAGGTTCAGCCATTGGCTTAAGGACTCCATAAAGGTTCCCTCATGAGAAAGGCAGTATTCAGTTATTTGGGGGTAGACATTTTAGTGTGTTTTGTGTTTTGTGTATTGAATAAAAGCTGGTGAGGGCCACACTGACTCTCCGGTCTCCCCTCAGGGTGCTAATCTATTGAAATCAGCCTGTCTTTCCACACATATCCTCTCCTACTTTCCAGCTTCCTGATTTGTTAAAGAGAAAAACTGGTCTTCATGGTTCTACAACTGACTTTGCTAGGTTTAAGGTGCTGTAAGTTGTTCCTCTGTTTTCAAATATCCCTGTGTACATTCTCAAGTGGCACATTGCTTCCTGCTTTGATTTTTGGCCTCAGACAAGTCAGGACTGAAGTTGGGGTGAAAAGTTCACTGACCAGAAGTGCGGTCAGAGAAGCCTGCCTTGCCTGGCCGCTCCCCGCCACCCCCCCTCCCCCCCACCCCCGCAGGAGGAGTCGACAGAAGAAAGACATTTTCTCTTGCCTGCTTGCTCTTGGCTCTGGATCCCGTGTTTGTGACCCTTAGTGGGTAAGGAATGCGCGACACTCCCAACCATCACCGGGACCCACGATAAACCTCTCCTAAGTGTCTGCCTCGGGGTTCGAGGTAGAAAGTTATTATCTGCAGCCATTGTAGTTGCCAGAGATCAACACTAAAAATAAAATAGGAAGTCCAGGGTGCCTTTGGTGTGACCGAAGTGTGTTGTCTGGTAAAAACTGTGTTTGGTCATCTTTGTGTGCATACCTATGGATACTTACACTTTCATAGGGCTCCACTTGCTCATGTCTATGTCCTTCTTGGTATATACACGGCTCCTGCCAAAGTGTTCACACTTGTCAGTGTGCACCTTGTAAAACATGTTGTTACTTTGTTGTAATTGCATTTTTAATTTATATGAGTTATGGATCCCATTTATTCCTTTGTGTCTTCTCCCCTGGGCATTATATTTTCTGTTGCTCCTTCTTGTGTATACATCAATTTCATTGCATTCAACTGCTCATGGTGTGGTTGATGTTTTATGCACGTTTTCCCCCAAGGTCAAGAGTCACATTGGCTTCATGCCATCTTGTCACAAACATGACTGCTGGAGACACATACCTTATTGGAAAATGCCCAGGGAAAGTAATTTTGGATCCAAACAAGTAAATTTACTGTACCATAGGGTGCATGGACACATGCTTGCATGTTTTCAGTGGGATTTTTGTAAACCACTTTCAGACTCCTTCTCACCAATGGGAGACCCCACCAGCATGAGTGTTCTGCACCCACTTCCCCACCAGCACGTGACATTATTAAGCTTTCTACTTTCCCGTCTTTCTAAGATGAATATATTTGTTTTATTTTCTTTCATTATTGATGAGTATGTATTTTTTTATACTTTGCCTTTGAAAATTATTCTCTTCTATAAATTTTCCTTCACATTTATTTTATACTTTTCTGCTGAAAGATTTTATATTTTTTCCTATTAATACATAGGTGCTTTTTGTAGACTCTGGGAGACCTGGCTTGATTTGTCTGAATGGCAAGCGGCTCTCCTCCTGGCTCTTCTGTGAACGTGGAGAACACACACATCTTCTAGAAAATATCTTACAGATAATGCCAGATGCCTCAACATATGTAAGAACACTAATTGTCTTGAGTTAGGCAAAATGATTCATTTAAGATTCATTTAGACTGCGAGAGAGTCTCAAATTGAAATCTGGTTTTCTATTCCCAGTCAGTGGCTTATGCCAACAAGCCGTGCCCCAGGAACTATTTCTCTCTAATAGCTTGGCCTTTAATGTGTGGCCTTAGCCCAGTAACTAATATTAAGGTTTGCTTTTGATTCCTGTTAAATTGGATGCTTTCCTCTCTAAGGATCATACAAAAAATGACCTGCTAACATCATAGATAGAAAGGAAAAGGACTTCTATCTAGGGTTTATTTTTGGTGGTGGTGGTGATGGTGGTGGTGGTGTGTGTGTGTGTGTGAGGTTCTGTTGTATATGCATTTGGTTGTGTGTATATGTGTTTGTCGAGGCCAGACTTTAGGATTGGGTTTCTCCTTTGCTGTACATTGAGGCAAAAATCTCTCACTGAACGGGGGAGGGGTGGGGTTGGGGCTGCTGATTGCTGATTAAGCTAGCCTGGCTGGCCATCATGGTCTAAGATCCTCTTGTCTCTGAATCCTGAACCCTGATAATATAGGCACAAAGCCTGCCTCACCTGCTTGCTCTATGAGTGCTGGAGATCCAGCTCCAGGTGTAAATGTTACAGCTCTGAAGGGAAAGGAACCTGGCAGTCAGGACCCAAGGAATACCACAGTCACACCATACAACACAGCAACAAAGTCATACCGCACAAGAAGCTCACACAAGAGATTGACTGGGAAAAACCTAGGGAGTTGGCTATCTCTGCTTGGAAGAGAAGAGAAAAGAACTGTTCAGCAGGAAGGCTGCATATGGATTTTCGTAGGAGTAGAACTTTCCAGGGTGACCTGGAATTGGTGGGATTGGTAGGATTTTGTGGCTGGATCTTGGGCTTTTTTTTTTCCTCTTGTAGGGTGGAGCTTAGTTGCCTGGATCTAGAGGGGTGAGGGGTCTCTATACTTTGCAGCAAGTACTTTGCTGACTGGGCCATCTTCCCAGTGAGCACCCCCGCCCCCCCCCATTAATGGCTTGAACCAGAATTTGAAGCATGTCTCTACAGTCTGGCTGTGGTCACTGGAAACTTTAAACCATGTACACAGTGGGATTTACACATCACATGTGAGCTGACTGACGGGGTTTCAGAGTGCTGAGCACGGCCGGCACACCCAGGAAAGAGAGAGGGTTTGTCCATCCTCCCTAGATCCTCTCGGTGGAGAGCCTGATGGCTGCAGCTCTCAGTCACTTTAGGTGGTTCTCCCTCACCGAGGCACACTTCCTTTCCTTCCCATGGGCTTGTGGGAACATGGGTTTCGCTGTCTTTAACCCACCTAATTCCCCCCCCCCCCCCAGATAAGGTAATTTGGGACAGAGAATGAGTACTCTTCCTTTTTTTAGGCAGACTGTCAAACCCATAAGGGAGTAATTATAAGACTAATTCTTCTGTTTTAATGACATCAATTGAATAACATCAGACAGTCAAAGCCTACATGATTTCACAGCGTTTTAACACTGTGCATATGAATCTAAATAACATGGCATTTTGCTTGTCATTTAGAGTATGTCTGTGTAGAAGGGCTATTAAGTTAAAGCTAAATTCTTGTGTGTGTGTGTGCTGGCGGCGCGCGCGTGTGCGTGTGTGAACTCACATGTGTACCGGCAATTCTGTGTTTTTTGTAACAGCAGTGGCAGAAGCTTGTTGTGTCTTCTGAATGTCAGAGAGATATTGGTCTGCACCAATAGCCAACACAGATATCACACTTCCTTATAGGATGACACAGAGATGTTCCCCAGCCGACATATGGCCAAGCGAGGCTTTCCTGTCACCATAAAACATAAGACATAAAAAGTGTCTTCTTTTTTTTTTTTTTGGTTTTTTCGAGACAGGGTTTCTCTGTAGTTTTTTTTTGGTTCCTGTCCTGGAACTAGCTCTTGTAGACCAGGCTGGCCTCGAACTCACAGCGATCCGCCTGCCTCTGCCTCCCAAGTGCTGGGATTAAAGGCCTGTGCCACCACCGCCCAGTGCTCAGTGTCTTCTTAACTGTCTGAATTTAAGTTCACATTTCTACCTACCTGTTAGAGTTTCTCTAACCCAGATGTCCCATACACTATCTCATTGGCTAGCACATCTACTATCGAAGGCTCAAATCCAGACGGCCTTTAGATTTCTGATCCTTTAGTTGTTAGCAGTACATTTGTTGATTTAGAGGCTAAGTTCTCCCACAGCCTAACCCCCAGGTATTGGTTACTAGTCTCTCTGGGTTACTTATCTCGTCTCCTTCTTTTAGCCTGATACTTTTTTTTTTTTTTTTGAGAAGAAGCCTCATGTGGCCTAGAGTGGCTTTGAACTCCCTCTGTAGCCAAGGATGACCTTGAACATTTGATTCTCTGGCCTCTACCTTCTGAGTACTGAGATGGCTGCCACACAGCATCGACCACTGTCTCTCGATGCATGCCTCACTCGTCATTACAGTAGCCCCTAGTCTGTTGTTATCCTTCCACGCTCTTGGTCGGAGCATCCCTTGACTCTGCTGTTAACTGTGATCATATATCTGTCCACCTTGGGTGATATCTAATTTCTTTTCCTGTTATTGGGATAAAATATGCTGACAGAAGCACTTCAGGGAGAGAAGATTTATTTGGCTTAGATTTCAAGTACCGTCCATCATGGTGGAAAAGTCAGGATGGCCTGAACTTGAAGCAGCCAGTCACTGATGTCCATATTTAGAAGAGAACAGTGAATGCCTATGCTGCCCAGTTTCCTTTCTCCATTTACAGGTTGGCATCTCCTATCCAGGGAATGCTCTCTGCACAGTGAGAGGATCTTCCCATATCAGCTAATGGCAATCGAGATAATCCCCCACAGGCATGCCCAGAGGGCCACCTTCCAGGTCCTCCAGATTGTATCAAATTGACAATTAACATTTCATTTTTATGAACCTGCCTTTGTCTTCTCATTCATCAAGTTTAGACAGGACCAAACAACTTGAAGTCTTCTGAGAGCCAAGGGGGAAATGAGTATGTGGGGTCATTGTTGCATCTGGACAACAATGGGTGCTCAACTCAAATCTCATTTCCTTTTGAGTGTGTTGGATGTTGATGTCTTTGTCTTCTAGTAACTAGGCCATTTCCTTCTTGTTACTGGTTCTTAGAACTTCTCAAAAAAAAAAATCCATCCCAGATTTTATATTCCCCAATTACAAAATCAGACATAGTCTGCCTAGCCTTGCCTACTCCTTATTCAACATTCCATCTGTATATTTTTGCCGTTTTCATTCCTCTATCTCTTTGGCTTACCTAACTTAAAATTTGTCATTTTCCTCATGGCTGCACTAGAATGTAAGCTCTCTCTAAGTCTAATAACTAAGCTTCCAATCTTTGCTGCTCCAGCCTGAGATAAACGAAGAGGCTTCCGAGTTGAACTCGACTTTCATCTACACAGGCAGTGGGCTCTTGGGTCATTCAGCATCTCCTGCAGTCGCAGCGGGAAATCAGGAGAGGAATCCTGTAAGGATAAAGATTTAACTAAGGAGACAGGAAAGCCTAGTATGATTTGAGTATGAACTGTGCCCCCACAGGCTCATGTGTTGGAACACTTGCTCACTGTTTTGGCAGGTTGTGGAAGCCTTGGGAGGAATATCCGTGTGAGAGGAAGTGGGTTACTAGGGAGAGTTTATAGAATTTATGGTTTATGCCTTCAACCTACTTCCTATCCTCTCTCTACTCATGACCTTCTATATTGTATGTATGTGCATACAACAGAACTTTCTTTTGTTAGACCAGGAAGGGCTTCTTGTCCCCCCCCCCCCTTATTTTACACCCATCCCATTTTTGTCTTTTCCTCTTCTTCAGTCAGAATCCCAGTCCCTGCTTGTGCCTCAGCCTTCACTGTTCATGGTCATGACCCAGACTCCTGTTTATCGTCTTTAGAGCACTCAGGCCTGCTTTGTGTATGCACTGACTCAGCCTTGCTGAAAGGGCATCCCTGGCCCTGCATCTTTCCAGTCTGCCTTTTCTGGGCATGCCGCCTCCCCCAGCTGAGCAATACTGGAAGACCTGCTTTGTCACATGGCCAGGTTTCCCACTCAGTGAACAAAACATAGCCACTTGCTTCTGTTTCACATTTCAAATCCAGCTTTCTAAACCATAGTGCAAGCAGCACACCGAGTCAGTCCATGTTGCAGGCCAGACTGACCTCCATGCCTCTGTGAGCTCTACCTTCACCCTGCTTTTGGGCTGCCGTCTATTGAACTTGCCACTGTGTCTGTATCTGTCTCTAGCATGGTGCTCCTGAGAAAGCTCTCAGTGCTGCTCCAGCCTCTGTAGGATAAGCCGGGCAGCTCTTAGTGCGATATCTTAGACTTGTCTTAGTTGAGCCGTGATTCCCAAATGATTCCTCTGCTCTGGCCAAGGTGTGCATGGACTAAGGTCCCATGCTTCACAGCAACTGTGGTTCTGCTGTCCACATCTCCTCTACTTCTCCATGAAGATCTAGGCTGAACCCACACTGCTGCCTTTCTTAGTGTAATTTATGGTTACTGAAGGGAGTTTCGCCGCTGTTGTTCTTCCATGCCATCTTTACCCTTGAGTCTTTATTTTTTTTTTTAATTCACATATTTATTTTACATTCCAGCTGCAGCCTACCCCATCCACTCCTTCCAATCTCTCTTCCTCATTTCTCCTCCCACCCCCCAATCCCTTCCTTTTCTAGAGACAGTTCCTGTTCTTGCTGTTATGAGTTCCCTAAGAGGACCGAGCTACACAACTGTAACACAGATGCAGAGTGTGGAGGAGGAGAAAGGTGTGTAGGAGCCAAGGGGTCAAGGACACCACGGGAAGGCTCACACAATCAATTAACCTGGACCCATAGGGGCTCACAGAGACTGAATTGAATCTTTCTATTTGACCTCCTTTCTTCCAGTGTTACTCTTCCTTAACAGAGTATGCTTGTCCAAACCACAAAGTTTGAGAATACCATAAAGAAAGAAATTTT